GCCCGCGCGGAGCCACAGCCAACCACGTGGGCGAGAAGTAAGACATACCCACCCTACCCTCCTCTCCCTCCCTTCCCCTCCTCAACCCCTCCCTCCCCCTAAAACGCACTCTCTCACCCACACGGACGCACGCACGTACGCTCACTACCGCGTTCCGACGTCGTAGACTTGGTGCGAGAAAACCCTCGGGCGCTGTGTAGTCATCGGGTGAAGTTTTCGTGAATCTGAAGAAGCGACTCTTTCCTCGTGTCAGAAGACGAATCTCTCTCGAAGGAAACGTTTCCACATGCTTGAAGACGTCTGAAATGTCAAGGTAAGTTAGTTCTCGAAGCGAGGTGGTGCTGCCCGCTGGTTGTGCTCATCCGTCTAGTGGCTGCATACTGCGTGGTATGTGCTCGTATATGTGCGTGTTTATACATATAGATAAATAAACACAAACATATGTATATATATATATATATATATTTAAATATATATGTATTTATGTATGTACATGTATATATATATATATATATATATATATATATATATATATATTTGTGTATCTGTGTGTATCCATCTCTTTCTCTCTCTCTTTGGCTAAACATACACACACACACACACACACACACACACACACACACACACACACACACACACCACACATACACACACACACACACACACACACACACACACACACACACACACACACACACACACACACACACATATATAATATATATATATATATATATATATATATATATGTATTTAAATATATATGCACACGCACACATATATATATGTATATAAATATACATATATATATATACATATACATATATATATACATATATATATATTATATATCTATATCTATATGTCTCTATCTATCTATCTATCTATATATATATATATATGTATATGTATATATTATGTATATTATATATATTTATTTATATATATATATATATACAAATATATAAGTATATATGTATATGTATATATATTATTTATATACATATACATATATATATGTATATATATGCATATGTATATTATGTATGTATGTATGTATGTGTGTATGAATATTTATGTATATACATACATACATGGTAGAAAAACCCACAATGCACAAACTAGATTTATTGAAGAAAGTGAGACAACAGTTTCGGAATCGTCCTCGATTCCATATATATAATATATATATATATATATATATATATATATATTATATATATATATATATAAACACACACACACAGATATGTATGTGTGTAATATATATACATATATATATATATATATATATATATATATATTATATATATATATATACATATAATATGTATGTATATATATATATATATATATATATATATATATATATATTGTATATATAAAAGTGATTCCCGTAAGTGTCTCTAAATCATAAAACTGCTCTCAAACTCTCGCGCGCCAACCAAATAGATCACTTTTAAACGATCACTTGGCAGAAGCCATTCGTTAACACATACAAGAAAGCCTTTGGTCCTTATGAACTTCCAATCGACAACCTTGAAAAACAACAGAGTGCTTGAAACGATTTCCTTGAAAATAATTCCTTCGAGATTGCAGATATGTCTCCCAAATAAGCAGATTACATGGAAGGAAAATGAACGTAACAACAACCAAAGCTAGGGGTGGTTTACCCAAACGACCTTGAACGGGGCAGTGCGAGGCGGAAGGCGATAGGGAGAGGGGGAGGGAGGGAAAGGGAAGGTGGATACGAGATGGGTGGGGAGAAAGGGGGATGGGTAGGGATGGGGGGGGGGAGGCCAGGAGGAAGAAGAATGGCGCACAAACGTAGCTGAAACTTCTTATAAAGTGAACACGCGGGCGATTCAGAAACGTTCACGAGAACACCACTCCCCCCTTCCCTCCCTTCCCCTCCCCAGGGCACCTAAACGTACGGTCGCGTCCCAGCCCTTGGCCTCCGTCAGAGAAGAAGCAGAGTAGTCTTGCAACACTGCTGTTTGTTCATGCACGGCTGGCGCTCCTGATCTCCATGCTGGCGGCGTGCACGTGGCCCGAGGGCCTCGCGCGATTCGTCTTGCCTCTCGAGAACGACTTGAAGGCGAACGAGGCGGGATGGCAGTCGCTCTGGGTTCTCGTGGCGGCTGCACGGGAGTGAGAAGCCTCGGTTGTTCGGCGCGCGGTCTTCTCGCCCATGCTCCTGACGGCGTGAATTATGCGGGGCTGACGCGAAGCCAACGCAGGCTGAACGTCAGACTCGCCAGGAGCCCCTCATGGCGCCTGCTGCCGCGACCCAACAGTGATGAATGCGCAGAAGAAATACGCCGCGTAGGCATGCGACGGGTGTGCGTGCAGCGCAAAAAGGTCGCCGTGACGATCAGCGTTTGTCGTGAGTGTTCACTCGACGTCGCTAACTCGCGCCCCGGCCGTGTGAGTGTGTTGAACGCGAAAGAAGAAAAATCCCCAGGAGAAATCAACGCGCTGGCAACATCCGCTGCACCAGGTGAGAGGATCTCCGACCTGCAACTTAATCACGCGGCCGATCCGCTTCTGAACCGACCGCGAACCCCACACCTGCGGGAGGGGCGGGAGGGCGGAGATGTCGAACCGAACTGAGATGCGGTCGGGGTACAGGCCCGGTCGGAAGCAACACGAAAGGTTAACGGTCGGGGGAACGATCAAAACAGGAATCAAGAAAAGCGAAGAGAGAGAGGAGAAGAGGAAGGAGAGAAAAAGAGAGGAAGTAGAGATTTAGGGAGAGAGATGGTAGGAGGAAGGAAGGAGAGAGAGAGTAGGAAAGTGGGAGAGTGGAAAGGATGGAGGGTGAGAGAGGGTGGGAAGGTGAGAGAATGGGAAGAGGAGGAGAGAAGAAGAGAGGAAGAGGAGGGAGAGAAGAAGAGAGGAAGGAGGGAGTGAGACTTGTATACAAACATTGTCATGTTTGCCATATGTCTAAACCCTCCTATTTGCTGGGGTCTTCACAGTCTATTGAGTAAAGAAAAGTAACGAACAAACCAAGGAGGCCTTTCTTTGATGCTAAATTTACATAGCTAACGGCAGGAATAAGTCGAATATCTGCACCACTCTCTGTGTGTTTGCTTAGGAACAAGTCTGGCTTGATTCCAGCATATAAAACGGAGAAGGAAAAGAAAGGCAGAGTTTGTTTCACTGATGCACGTTGTGAATTAATTACAAGGCAATAGAGCAATATAGTGGACTTAATTGTAATTCAGTTAAATATGATCCTCAAGGTTAGTTCACCCTGACCTTAAATCCCCAAAGCTTTATTTTGTATGTCAATTGAAGAGTGACTAGCATTTGACCAAACCTATATTTCTACTACTAAAGTGCACAAATATAAAGAGAGAGAGAGAGAGAGAGAGAGAGAGAGAGAGAGAGAGAGAGAGAGAGAGAGAGAGAGAGAGAGAGAGAGAGAGAGAGAGAATGCGCAAACCACATGGGAAAAGGTAAAAAGCGCGACCGACAGCGTGTCCTTCGCCAGCATCCAAAGACAGCAGGCGAGGCGACCCCCTGAAACACCATCGAACTGCGAAATGTCGGGTCGAGTTTCTAAGGCATCGGTCGGCAAACTACTAACGAAGGACGGGCGGGGATGGAGGTTGAGGGAAGTGCAAGTGGATGGGTAAAATTAAGGCCTATAGTGAGGAAGAAGAGACAGATGGAAAAATGTTTGGCAAGAGAAAGAGAGTCAAAATAAGATACGAAAAATGGGAACCCGCAAATGAACTACGGAAAAGAAAAAAAGGGGGGAAAAAAAGAAAAAAATGAGTAAGAAAGGCCCGCCCTCCCCCTCTCCCACCCTAACCCCTATCCTTACCCTCCACCCTCCACTTACCTCCCATCCTCCCACTACTCCCCTCCCTCCCCCTCTCCCTCCGAATAATAAACGCGATCATTCCCACCGATATTGGAAGGCCAGGACGCCATCACACAGGAAAGGCGAGGAGAGCGAGCGTGCTGGCAACCTGCCGAGTCGAGCGAAGAATACCCAACCCGACGTTAAGGGAGAAAGCGGGAGATTCTTCTGGTTGTGGAGGGGAGTGGGGGAGAGCCGGGGGGGGGGTAGGTGGGGGTAAGGGGAGTGGACCTAGGAGGGGAGTGGGAGAAGCGGGGGAACCAGGGGGAAAGGCTGGGGGAGTGGTAGGGGGGTAAGGGGAGTGGCCTGGTAGGAGTGGACCGGAGTGGGGTGAGCCGGGGGGAACCAGGGGGGAAAGGCTGGGGAGGGGTAGGTGGGGTAAGGGGAGTGGGCCTGGTAGGAGGATTATGGGATGATTCGTTGTTGTTATTGTTATTGTTATTGCCAAAGGGGGTTGCTGCTGCGCGTTGTCTCTGGCTGTCACTTATTATCTTTATCTATCTTTTTATTTTGTTATTGATGTTGCTTATTTGTTAATGATATTATGATTTTGTTATCACCCTCATCATCATCACTTTTTCCTCCCTAATTATGATTATAATTTCTGTTACTTAAGACACGGCTACGCTTTTAATATTGTTGTTTTGTTGTTGTTCTGTTATTATTGTCATCTTTATTGTTGCCATTAGCATTAGCATTATTATTATCATCGTTATTGTTTTTGTCAATAATTCTGTTATCATCATAATTCTCGTCATCATTTTCATCATTTTGGGATTATTATTATAATCATAATGTTAGTAATAATGATTATGATATGTTTACTACTACGACTACTACTAACAGTAATCATAATTGCTCTTTAACTATTCCTTGTTATTTTGTTATTATTACTTCTGTTACTTTTCTTTTTATTGTTCATATTGACATATTCGGCAGTAGTGCAATGATATAATACGCAAGAGAATAAAATAGAAAAAGAGATAATAAGGAGGATTTTAGATGACACACACAAAAAAAAGGAAATAAGAAATGAAACCAGATAGATAGAGATAGAAGAAGAAAGAGAATGAAAAGAAGAGAAACCGAAAGTGAGGAGAAAAGACATAAGATAGACAAGAAGAGAAAGCGAAAGTGAGAAGGAGAAAAGCCATAAGAAGATAGAGAGACAAAAAGAAAAGAAAGCGAAAGTGAGAAGGAGAAAAGACACAAGAAGATAGAGAGAGACAAGAAGAGAAAGAAAAGACTAAGAAGAAAGGGGAAACATATGAAGTGAGAAGAATAGAGAAGAAGAGAGAGAGAAAGAGAAGACTGAGAGAGAGACAAGAAGAGAAAGAAAAGACTAAAAAGAAAGAAAGAAGAGGAGACATATGAAGTGAGAAGAGATAGAGAAGATTGAGAGAGAGACAAGGAGAGAGAAGGAAAGAAAGAAAAAAACGTTTTCGTGCGACACGCGCTTACACTCGCCTGGCGTCTGCGGTCCCAGCACTCGCCCCCGCGGAACCCCTGGCAAGACAACATATCCCTCGCCTGGGAACTCTCCTACACTCCTGCTCACCCTTCTTGGTCCTCTACTAGCTCCACCCCCCACGACCTATTCAACCTCTATTGAAACCCCTTTTCGCCTTGCATTCCCCACCCACCCCACCCCCACCTTCCTTCCCTCTAACCCCTATTCTTTTTTTCCCGTTATTTTTCCCAACGAGACGATCTTTCCTTGTCTACTAAACTCACCCTCATCCTTTCTTTCTAACCCTACGACCTTCCCTAACCTCTCTCTTTCCTTAGACCCTCTCACCCTTCACTCTTTCCTTTCACACACACACACGTTTCCTTAGCCTTGGCCTTCACTTTTGGGGTGCGGGTGGAGAGGGGAGGAGATGAGATTAAGGGAAGGAGGAGGGGGTAGGAAGATCGTTTCAGCTTTTAGAGAGAGAGAGAGAGAGGGTTGATGAGAGAGAGGGGGGAGAGGAGGAGAGAGAGAGAGAGAGAGAGAGAGAGAGAGAGAGAGAGAGAGAGAGAGAGAGAGAGAGAGAGAGAGAGGGGATCAGAGGCAGAGGAGGATCAGAGTTAGAGAGAGAATGAATGAGAACGAGAGAAGATAAATAAAGAGGATGCAGTAAGATCGAAAGCAAGATAGAGGGGGGAGAAAGCGTAACAAAGAGAGAAGACACAGAAAAGGAGATAGTAGAGAAAACAGCCACTCTTGTCCTCCAATCTTGTTACAGATGAAAGGAGGAGGAGTTTTCTACATTCATTGGAAGCCAAGGTCATCACAGAGAAGGGGAAAGGGAGGAGGGAGGGAGATGGGGAGTTATTGGAATAAAGGAGGAGGAGAGAGGGGAGAAGGATAGGTTTAGAAAAGAGGGAAGAGGGAGGAGAAGGATTTAGGGAGAAGGAGGAGGGGGATAGGAGAAGGATTTAGGAAGGAGGAGGGGGGGATGAGGGAAGAGGGCTTAGAGAAGGAAGAGAGAGGGGTGAAGGTTTAGGAAGGAGGGAGAAAGATGGATTTAGGAAAGAGGTTAGAGGGAAGGAGATGGGAGGAAGGAGAGAGGGAAGAGGGAGAAGTGAGGAAGAAGGGAGAAAGAAGAGAGGGAAAAAGAGGGTGATGAAAGGAAGAGGAAAGGAGAGACAAGGGACGGAGGGAGGGTCGATCCAGGGAGAGGGATGGGAGGGGGGTTTAAGGCCGGTTGAGTTACCAGATAGGCTTTTATCTGCTTAAGTGGCCCGCTTTCTTGCCTCTAAAACGCACATGTTTTCTCTCCCTGACAGAAGTAGAAGAAGAGAGAGAGAGCTGAATAAAAAGGAGAATAAATAGAGATATTGATAAAGACATGCTAACAGAAACCAGGAATTAAGAATAAGAAAAAAAAGAGTCAGCATAGGAATTCGGATGATAATGATACGGTAAAGAGGAAAAGTAATTACTTAATATGTGTGGATAATAATTATTTTCGAATAATAGTGATAAGATGAATGAAAAATAGTTACTTAATAAAGGTAAGAGAGGCAATAATGTTAGTAAGTGAATAGTTGGAATAACGAAATCATGGTTGGAAATAAGAATATGGAAACACTTACGATAAGAAGACTATTTAAGAGAGGGAGAGCCAGAGAAAGTTGTTGCTGCTGTTTTTATTGATACCATTGTTATCATCATCATTATTATCATTTTTATCAATTAGTTGTTTTTATCATGAATATGATAGCAGTTGCTGTCGTAATCATCATCATTATTATTATTATTGTTTGTGTTATTGTAATTATCATTGTCGTTAAAATTGTTATCCTTATTATTCTAATTGTTATCATTATTGTTATTATCATTATTATGATCATTATTGATAATATTGTTATTATTATTATTATTATTATTATTATTATTATTATTATTATTATTATTATTATTTTCATATTATTATTATCAATGTCATTATTGTTGTTGTTATTGTTATTATTTTTCTTATTATCATTATTCTTATTCTTATAATTAATGTTATCACTATTGTTGTTATTATTACCATTAGTATTATTACCATTATTAGTATCAATATATTAATATATTATTATCATCGCTACTATTATACCACTGCATTTATCATAGTCATTTACACAATTGTTTCTTA